GATCAAAACCAGAATCTGTGTTCAAAGAGTGCAGTGTTTTCACTCTTGGGAAAATTTCCCATCTTAAACTTGACTTGAAGTGTTCATGCATCCATCCTTCTTCATATACTCATTGCTGATAAGAATGTAACTTTAAGTTTTATTTCATATATCAATTGAATTGGATGGTATGACTTTAGATTATTCTCTTTTGTTGGTGTTTTTATTGCATACTATTGTTATTTTTCCCTTCCTAACACATGTAATTGTGATCTTCTGTTGGTATTCAGAAGTGTGGGAAATCAAATAGTATTTTAGGAAAGAATAAATTAGGAAATTTGAAATTTGTACAAATTTGAATAATTAGGAACAATCCCATAAATTAAGCGATCCTAAAATAAAATTGAGTTATTATATTTCCTAAAATAGCTTAGGTCTTTTGTATATATATTATATGATCTCTTTGTATTAAAATAATAAAACAAGATTTTATTTAATCTAATTTTCCAGATAGAATCAGAGCTTCTGATCTAGGAAGTTCTGTCTGCGCACTATAAACCTTAAGACGACAGTCTGTATTGCTGCTGCATTTTTCTTAACCCTAAGACGACATCCTGCATTGCTATCCATTTTGCATATAGACTAAATGAAAGAAATTATTTGAAGTGGGCCCAACTTGTTCGTACAATGTTGAATAGAAAGGGGGTAGCCGAACAAAAGAAAGGAGGATCAACAAACGTAGAGAAGAAAGGTGATGGTCTTTGGTGTACCTACTGCAATAAGCCTCGTCGTACCTGAGAGAAGTGTTGGAAGTTACATGGGAAGCCTTTAAATCGAGATCGAGAAGGGGGACACAGAGGAGACTCTTTAAAGAAAGGAGGACAAGTTTATGTTGTTGCTGAAACAAATGAAGGAAATAATCTAGAAGTTGCTGCCCATCTTAACCAAGAGGAGATAGAAAGGGTGAGAACCTTTCTTAGTAAGATGGAAAAATCTATAGGCAGTGGCGGATCTTTACCATTGATCTTGGAGGGGCCAAATAATATATTATTAATAAATAAATATAAAATGAAGTAAGAAGATGAAAAGGTGAAATGATAAAATTGTAAATATATACTTAAATATATTAAATGATCATTAAGTTTGAGGGGGACAAAATCATAAATTATATGAGATTTACAAAACTGAGGAGGGGCTGAGAGGATAAAATTGTAAATATACAAGTAAATATATTAAATGTTCATTAAGTTTGGGGGGCCAAAATCATAAATTACATGGGAGTTATAAAGCTTTGGGGGGGCCACGGCCTCCCTCAGCTCCTAAGAAGATCCGCCATTGTCTATAGGTGTGTGTTCTTTGGCATACTCAGGTAAGTTTCCACTTTGTTTTGGATTAAATGTCTTAGATACACCTTTTAACCATTATTGGATATTGGACTCTACCATTAGCCAAACACTTCTCCACATATTTCCCATGTCCCCGCAACAAGAAAATTGTCACAACAGATGAAACCCTTATAACTGTAGCTGGTCAAGGAAATATCCAAATCAATCTTTTAATAACCTTAAAAGATGTTCTCCATGTCCCAAAGTTGTCTACCAACCTAGTGTCTATACAAAAACTTATAAAGAATTTGTCATATAAAGTTGATTTTTTCAAGGATCATTGTGTATTTCAAGATAAAGATTCGGGGAGGATGATTGGACATGCTAGAGAATGGAATGACCTTTATTATCTCGAAGATCCAAGTCTGTCCAGTAAGAACAAAATCTCTCACTCCTTCATATCTGAATCCTTGATGACCAATAGAGAAAAAATCATGCTTTATTATTGTCGGTTGGGACATCCCTCTTTTGGAGTGATCAAAATTATGTTTTCCTCTCTGTTTACCAAGTTAGATGTTGAGAGTCTTCATTGTGAGGTGTGTGAACTTACTAAGCACAAGCGTGTATATTTTTCAATAAGTAATAGAATTAGCAATTTCTCTTTTTATCTTGTTCATACTGATGTATGGGGACCTTCTAATGTTTCAAATGTGTCTGGTGCTCGATGGTTTGTCACCTTTATAGATGACTGTACAAGGGTCACTTGGGTTTTCCTACTTAAACAAAAATCAGAAGTCAGTTCTGTCTTTCTAAACTTCCACTCCTTGATAAAAATCAGTTTGGTGTTAATATTAAGAGGCTTAGGTCGAGATAATGCCAAAGATTACTTCAATCATATCCTTAATTCTTTTGGTAAAAAGAAGGTATAATTCATGAGTCCTCTTGTGTCAAAACACCACAGCAGAATGGGGTCGCGGAGAGGAAAAATGGACATCTATTAAATCAGACTCAAGCATTAATGTTCCAAAAAAATGTCCCAAAAAATTTTTGGGGGGAAGCTGTCCTTACAGCAACATACCTTATCAATAGACTACCCTCTAGAGTCTTAGGATCAAAAAGCCCTATGGAAGCTTTATCGTTTTTCTATCTAAACCTGTCCACTACAAAAATCTTAAACCAAGAGTTTTTGGGTGTATCTCATATGTCCATATTCATAGTATAGACAGGGGAAAACTTGATCCTAGAGCCTTAAAATGTGTCTTTGTTGGTTACTCACCCACTCAGAAAGGGTATAAATGCTACCACCCCCATCCAAAAAATTCTGTGTCTAGGGATGTTACCTTCAATGAACAAGAGAACTATTTCCATCAACCTTATCTTCACGGGGAGAGTTTCAAGGAAGATAAGGAAAGTAGTAATCTGGTTTTCCCATTCTTCCAAACTTGATATTTGAACCTAAACGAGATCAAATTGAAAGTAGTAATTCTGGTTTTTCCATCCTTCTAGACTTGATATTTGAACCTAAACGAGATCAAATTGAAGTCTGTAACAAGTGAAACAAGTCAAGGAATTGGTCAAGAAAAGGAAGTTGGTCAAGAAAGTGAAATTAATTGTGAAGCTGATCAAGAAGATGTTGAAGCTGGAAAATTTGGTAAGAAGCTAGTGTACTCAAGAATCCAACTCGACTCCACAAAAAGAGGTAACAATTTTTTCTCCAGGTTGTGCGAGTTGAAATTGAAACCCAAAATGATTCTGACCTCCCAATTGCCATTAGAAAAGGGACAAGAAAATGCACCAATCAGTCACTCTACCCTTTCTCAAATTACCTGTCCTTTAAAAATTTCTCTCCTACCCATAAAACCTTTCTAGTAAACCTAAACACTATACTTTTACCTAATACCCTATCTGAGGCATTGTCTCGACAGTAAAATGGAGGTAAGCCATGGATGTAGAGATGGAGGCATTGGAGAAGAACAACACCTACGAGTTAGTTACTTTACCAATAGGAAAGAGGCCAGTTGGATGTAAGTAGGTCTATATAGTGAAATATAAGACCGATGGATCAATTGAGAGATATAAGGCATGACTAGTTGCCAAAGGGTTCACCCAAACCTATGGAGTTGATTATTTGGAGACCTTTGCTCCGGTTGCCAAAATGAACACAATTAGGGTGATATTGTTCCTTCACTGTCAATTATGCTTGGAACAATTTGATGTTAATAATGCTTTCCTACATGGAGACCTTGAAGAAGAAATTTATATGGAGATATCTCCGGGATATGGTAGAGATGTTGTTGTCAACACTTGTTTGCAAGTTGAAAAAGGCATTATATGGGCTAAAACAGTCTCCCTGTGCATAGTTTGGCAGGTTTACTAAAGTTATGACAGTGTCGGGTTACAAACAAAGCCAAGGGGACCATACTTTGTTCTTTAAACATTCAAAGTCGTGGGGAGTAACAATATTATTGGTGTATGTGGATGACATAATATTAACTGAAGATAATAAAGAAGAGCAACAATTGTTGAGCCAATGCTTAGGCAAGGAATTTAAGATCAAGACCTTGGGAAAACTAAAATATTTTTTGGGAATTGAAGTTGTCCACTCCAAGAAAGGGATATTTATATCCCAACAGAAATACATCACTGATTTGCTCAAGGAAACTGGCAAGGAAGCTTGCAAACCTGCTAGTACCCCATTAGAACCAAACCTAAAGCTTGGAAATGCAAAAGAAGATTGTTGCTCGTTGAAAAAAATATGTACCAGACAATTAGTGGGCAGACTTATATATTTGTCTCATACCAGGCCGGATATTGCCTATGCAGTGAGTTTAATTAGCCAATTTATGCATAACCCAAAGGAGACCCATTTACAAGCAGCCCATAGAATTTTACAGTACCGTAAAGGAACTCCAGGAAGATGGATTCTATTCAAAAGGAATGGTAATGTGAAGCTTGAAGCCTATATTGATGCTGATTATGCAGGGTCAATTGTGGATAGGAGGTCAACTACAGGATATTGCACCTTTCTTGGAGGAAATCTTGTGACTTGGAGAAGCAAAAAGAAGGGTGTAGTGGCTCAGTCCAGTGCTGAAGCGGAATTCCGAGCAATGGTACAAGGTATATGTGAGTTGTTATGACTTAAAATCATCTTAGAAGACTTGAGGATAAAATGGGAAGAACCTATGAAACTCTATTGTGATAATAAGTCAGCAATCAGCATAACCCACAACCCAGTGCAGCATGATAGAACAAAGCATATTGAAGTAGACAGACACTTCATCAAAGAAAAGCTTGATAGTGGCTTGATATGCAGTCCATATGTGTCATCTCAAGACCAAATTGCAGACATTCTTACCAAGGGACTGGGCTACCACAATTTTGAGAAGATTGTATCCAAGCTGGGAATGGAAAACACCTATTCACCCGCTTGAGGGGGAGTGTGGGAAATTAAATAGTATTTTAGGAAAGAATAAATTAGGAAATTTGTAATTTGTACAAATTTGAATAATTAGGAACAATCCCATAAATCAAGGGATCCTAAAATAAAATAGAGTTATTATATTTCCTAAAATAGCTTAGGTCTCCTGTATATATATTGTATGATCTCTTTGTATTAAAATAATAAAACAAGATTTCATTTAATCTAATTTTCCAGAAGAAGCAACTGAGTTGCAATCAGAAGAAAACAAATTGTCTATGGAGAAAAATAAGAAAAGAAGGCTCAAAACACCTGCTCAGCTTACGGCCTTGGAAAATTTTTATAATGGTGGGTATACATCTTTTCTCATATGGGTGTTAATGCATCTTGCGGAGTGATGAATATTTACCCGTTTCACTCTTTTTTTTTTCCAGATCACAAATATCCCACGGAGGAAATGAAATCAGAACTTGCCGAAGAGTTGGAGTTGACGGAAAAGCAAATATCTGGATGGTTTTGCCACAGAAGATTGAAAGATAAAAAGTTGTTGAATGATGAAGTAGGTGCTAATGGACGACAAGATCGTTCAAGTGGTGTTATTCAGGATCGTGGCAGTGGTCTATTGCAGGATTCATGTGGAAGCACTAAACATGGTGATTATAGGTATTTGGATCTCAAAGAGGTTGAGAGTCATGGCCTCTATAACCATGATTTTGCAGTTGCAGATATGGCCTATGAACACAGGAACCATCTTTATACAGAAAATAATAGTGCAACAGATAACACATCATCTGAGAGTAGCTCATCTTTGCAAGACCGAATGCTTCCTCAAGGACAGGATCCATATGACATGGAGCCTTCTACTGATTTGATGCCAAACGGATCTCTTCCGCCCCTAAATCCCAAGGGTGCAAATAAAATGCGATATAAACCATCAGGATATTTAAAAGTGAAGGGAGAGATAGAACATGCTGCTATTACTGCGGTTAAAAAGCAGCTAGGAAAGCATTTTCAGGAAGAAGGACCATTACTTAGTGTTGAATTTGATACAGTTCCTCCAGGGGCATTTGAATGCCAAACTGCAGATCTAGCTAATGGTAGGTTGTACTATATGTATTCAGTTATCCCATTTTTCCAAGTCTCACTAGCTTTGCAAGGCTGGAATGGTTTTTCATTGAAATACTATAAGGCTTTGGGTTAAAGAAATATTGTTGCTCACATTAGAGAGCTGAAAAGATATTTGGCACACATCACATTGTTTTTCTTTCTTAGGCAGTGGCAGCATTAAGTATGTTATTTCTTTGAGTTGCAAATAAAATATTTTCCCACAAGCCCGTGGTTTTTTGTCATGCATTAGGATTTGGATGTTTTAGACGTTTTGGAGAACTTTCAACAGATGCCTTCTTAATATGGATATAATAGGTTCAATGACAATTAATGTGATCAGTGCTCTGTGGTTTACAATATTTGTCAACCTTGTCTGAAAATTGCTAGTTCACATTAGATCTTGTAAATCCGGAGCTTTATGTCACAATTCATTAGGCAATGTCTTTTACAATTGGAGGTCCTAAATGAATGTTAGCACTTTCTTATTTGAAGTTTTGAATATAAATGGTTTATAAAATTATTTATTGTCAGACGGGTTGCAAGGCTTGAGGACAAAGAATGAAAGCTGAGAGCTTAACCTTAAAAAATTCTAAGCTTAACTAAGAGCTCAAGTAACCCTTTTAATTGATTCAATTGGATTTTCTTTAGGAGGATATGTCTCAGAAATATTGTTTTGGTAAATTGTGCTCATATTGAAGGAGTTGAGACTCTTAAAGTTGAAAACTGGTTACCATTGATGAATGCCTTCTTTTGGGAAGTGCATATGACTTTTGTGTACACATCTTTGTGCACTATGCCATTTTTTTTTTGCTGGTTCAGGTCTGGAAAGTTCATGATCTTTGAACGTTTTAACAGATAGATTTCATCTTAGCTTATGCGTAAAGGTTTATTTTCTTTATTGTGTTGATTCTCTTAACTCTAAATCTAATTTCTGATTGCATTTAGTCATTTGAAGAATAGATTGAGAATCTTACCCTTTAAACTGATGAATGTCATTGCAGAAGGATACTATGATGCAAATCCTGCTCTTCCAAATTCACCAGAAGTCTCTGCTATGAAAAAGCAATCCAGTCTTAGCTCTGTAAGTTGAACTTTTGAATGCATTCATCTCCTGTTTTGATTATCCTTGTAGAACATGATCTGCTTAAATTATAAGATACATGTTTCATAAATTGGGTATCTTCTTGACATTTAATGTTAAATATTACAACTCTATGACTAGTGGTGTTTTCTTTAAAATCAGCGCTTAATTGTTAAGGCCTAGCTTCTCACTTTCTTTTCCTTGTGCATTGGCAGAGACATGATTCATATTATACCAAATTAAGGTCCCAAGATTCACATATGGAAGGAGGTGACTGTGGCTCTTTGCATGATTCTGATTTCCAGGATAAGAAACTCCACAAGCGTATAAATCAAAGACCAACTTTTCACAGTTTTACCAATCATTTCCCTCACAAGAACTCTTCCCTGGATTTGTATGTAGACTCTACTGGGGATACATCTGCCTATAGTAGTGCTAAAAATCATAGGATGGGTGCTAAACATGGTTTTGAGGGGATGAGGTCTGATTCTGCTTCCAACCCTAGTGATCACTATGAAGACAATACCGCCGCAGTCAAGCCGATAGATTCACTCTTACATCTCTACGATAACAGTAATCTGAAGAATGTACAAAAGAATGAATATGTAAAATCTAAGCCTTCAATACATAATAAGTCTCAAATTTTCTTGAATGCTGAAGGAAAAGGGCTTACTAAAAGAATGGCCAAGGTCCCTGAATACGCCTGCACTTTCTTTGTGTGTTTTGCCTGTAATCATCAAATTTATTTTTCTTACAAATAACTTAAAATGCCTGTTTGGTTACATTTTTTTGCAGGAAGAGAATTTTAATGGCGATAGAAAGTTAAAAATGCAATATCATGATCCAGATGGAATTAGGGTGCTTTCAAATGAAAAGATGGTGAGTTTTAGTTGCATTGCATAAATTTCTTGCATGTGTGCTTTGGTAATCTGATTTTCTATTCAACTTACTTGCCTCATTCCTTGCTAGTGTACAGGATATTTGTTTTCCTATGTGTCCTTACCCGTGTTTTACATTAACATCATAGGTTGCAAAGCGAGCAAAAGTTGACCCATTTGAAGAATATGATGTTAAACAAGCACCTGTTTCTGACCTGGAACCAAGGAAAACGCAAAGGTGGCCATTTATATCTTTTTGATTTTGTCTTTTTCGTTATTACTTCCTTCTCCTGGTTCTCCTACAATTCTGTCTTATTATGTTCCTGTCCATGTCTGTTTATTATACTACCAATTTGACTTGATAATTTTTTTAAGTAGATTATTTAGTAGTATTTATAGTCACAATTTAAATATTAGGGGTTTTGGATGGCTGTTTACCTTATCAAAGTAGAATATGGATCTGTTTGTCTTGGATTTTGCAAGAATTGGTTTTGAAAATTTCATCTGTGCTTGTGAGTTGAGATCAGAAGAATAACTTCTCCACATGTTTGGCTCAACCTTTTGAGTAATAATCATTTATTTTAAAAATTATCTTTAAGGAAAAAAATTCTTTTAAACTGTAAATAAGATATAATTTTCGTCCAACACCCAAATAAACTCTACCCTACATATAAGTTAAAAATTTTCAGTTCTCCCAAAATCAATTCTTACTGAATTTATTGTCCCAGATTTGAAAATCACTAAAACAGAACTTGAGACGTGGAAAGAATGGTTCTTGAAGAACTATTGAAATGGTTATTCAAAGAACTATTGAAATTTTTATTTGTAAATTAATGGTAAAATTAACCATACAATATCCTTAGCCTCATTCCTTTTTATTTTCACTGAATTGGATATATAGTTCATGAATTTAACACCTTAATCTTGAAATTTACAATAACTTAATCCTTGAAAGTTTTCATCCTACTTGTTGATTTATGGAAAGTAGAACTCTTTCTAATACCATCATACATGATCATGTAGGTCTGCTGCAGAGATGCCATCTAGCTTTAGTCAGGATGAAACTGCTGAAATCAGTTCCTCAGTGGATTAAGTGTTGTTGATAGATGTAATATTTACAGGGTTTCTCTAAGACACTGGTTTTGTACAGTCTAGAAACACAGATCCATTTTGCACAGTAACATCTAGAAAGACAAACTAACATGACTAACTTGATTTGCTGTTGTGCTTGCCTAGTTCCTTCTGAGAGCAGAAACCACTCCACCTACCCCTTTTCTCAATTTTGGATGTAAAGTAAATCTGATTTTCATGCAGCTGTTTGTGTTAGGAAGGATCCAAATGTAGTTTATAAATTATACACAACTTCTTTCTTAATGGTTTATGTTGTGTTTGGTTCATCATTTCACCTTGATGAACATCAATCCAATGTGAGAGGATGACTTTTAGTTTGGTTCAATAATCCTTGGTTGGACCAGTTATCCACTTGTGCTTTTAGTATTTGAGGAGGATAATTTTGATTCATTTTGAATGGGAGAAAGAGATTAAATTAATTAACCTACACGCTTTGAATAATTAAAGTAAAATTGCAACACTTATGGTGCAAATTTGCAGTTATATATATAGTAAACTACAATTTAGGAATTAACCTTTTTGTTTGGTCATTATATTCCATAAGATCATTAGTGTTTACATGATTTTTGTTAAACACACAGTTCCTAGTCACTGGCATCAAGGCCTTTTTCCTTCCCACTTCAATATACTTGAGTAATGAAAGTACTATTATCTTGTGAGATGAATATGAACTAGTTGAAAGAACAACGTGCTCTTCATCTTCCTCAATCAATATCAAGAAGTTGTGGAATGCCAGGAAGATTCTCTCTTAACACTTTGAAACATTTTGTATGTTGTCTGGTGAAATTGAATGAAAAGCATCAATTTTGGTGGTTTCACTTCTGTTCAATCTCTCTCTTGATTTAGGCGGGTCCTAGTAAATTTTAACAATAGTAAGGAGGTTGTTTAGAGGAGAATATCGTTTGTATTTCTCTGAAAAAGTTTGCTAAAGAATCTTAAACTTTTGAATTAAAGTGAAGAAAACATAAAAGGTATATATTTGGCTTTGACAATTTTGAACTTTAATTTTTTTGAATTATGTCATTAAACTTCCATTGGATTCTTTTAATTGGGTCTTTCGGTTTATCTTTAATAGGCAATGCAACGGGCAGGGTGGGGTATCCGCTACCTGTTCCATCAGAAAAAAACTATCCGTGGACATGTTTACAAAATATTTGTGGGTTTTTTTTATACATGTGGTATCCATGGAGACTTGTACATATTTTTTATTTTTATTTTAATTATTATTACTTAAAAAAATTTCTTTGAAACATATATTATGATAATTTTTTATTAAATATATAATTTAAATAAAATTAAATCATATATATAATTAATCTTCGTAAAATATTAATTTTAATATGTTGTAGTATAAAGAATAAATTTTAATAATATTTTTTTAAAATAATTTCAATTTCATAAATTTAGATAAAAATATAAATCTATAAATTTTAATTTTAAATAATTCTTTAATTTTTTATCAATAATATCATTTTAAAAAATAATAAAATAATTTTTTTAGCAGTGGATATCTATGGATTAGATATATCAATGATTTCCATGGTTCTTACCATTGCCACGGTGGGTAATTAAAATATTTATATTCATTGCTCGGAGTATTTATTTAATATATTCACTTAATAACAAATTTTAAATTTAATTTTAAATAATTCTTTAATTTTTTATCAATAATTTAATTTTAAAAAATAATAAAATAAATTTTGTTAGCAGTGGGTATCTATGGACTAGATACATCGATCCTGTTAAGAAATGGGTAATTAAAATATTTATATTCATTACTCGGAGTATCTATTTAATATATTCATTTAATACCTGTAACAAATTTTACCTATGGATAATCGTGAGTACGGAATTTTTGTTTTTCATCCTTAATCTTTACCACAAAAATTAACCCGATACATTTAATTGGAGGTACAATTAGAGGATTCACAGTTTACACTATATATAAAAATTAGTTAAATTATATTTTTAATAACTTTATAAAATGCAAATTTAATCAATCTCACCTTTAGATTCCATAATATTATATTGTTTTATGTTATATATATATATATATATATATATATATATATATATATATATATATATATATATATATATATATATATATATATATATATATATATATATATATATCATTGTAAACCTTTTCTGGACGAGTGATGATGAAAGCGTCATAACTCGTATCAAAAGAAATACCAATTATCAATAAATGTAGCTAGGTTAGTAGGAGAATTAGAACCTAAGGTGATTTGTTTAAATATAAAAGAATTTAATAACAAAACAAAGGAGTATAATAAAAGAATAAAACATAATTAAGAGCAAGAGATGTAAAATAATTTATTCAAACGGATTAATTAGTTATCTTGATTAAACTATCAATTATCATTAATTAAATTGAATTTAAATTAACTAATAAATATTAATTAATTAAAAAAATTATACGATGAATAACCTATTAAATTTTCATTGAATTAGATTTAGTCAGGTAGTTTTGCTAAAATCTAACCAATAATCAAGATTTAAATTTAATCAACAAGAAAATTTGATCACAAATCAATTAGGGAATCGTAGTGAAGAATTAATTTAGATATTAAACCTTCCATAACAAAACATGATCACGAAGGATCGTGATGAATACACAAACGAACATAGTACTAAACATAGAACAAAATATAAAAGAGAGTTTAAATATACAAATTAGAAAATTTACAATCCAAAATATTTTCGATTAACCTATCTAGAATTATTTTGGATTGTATTCCAAATTTAACAATATGACGTTTCATATTTCTAGAATTTTGTTATGATTATTGACGCTTTTAATTAAATAATTGTGTTTTGAATGTTCAAATACTTTCATTATGACTAAGACTTGGGAGGTGGTTCCTAACCTTTGAGTCGTTTGACTAATCGCCTTTGTAAGATGTAGGGTTCATGGAGAATCAAGTGATATTAATGTGTTTGAATATAATGTTAAGGATATATTGTAAAAGAGAAACATCAAGAACCTCTAATAGATTATGAATTTGTTTTAAGGACTTGTGAATACTTCTTTACTTTTTAAAAGTATGAAGATCACATTGCCCGTAATTTGTGGAAGATTATGTGGAAGAATCCCCATGTTGTATGAAGTATGTGGTTAGCTAATTATCTCCAATTACAATCATTTAATACCAACTTGACCATCTAACATTATTTGGGATCAAATGGATTCTATACCATCAGAGGGAAGCTCGACCTGTTTCGTCTAGAAACGAGAGTGTCTCAGTCTTATGTTAGGGTCTCATGTTATATACAAAGGAGGGTATATATAAACTACCCTTGGTCTTGACTCCTAAGCGATGTGAGACTTATGAGCGTATTAGAACATAAGCATAAGCCCTCTAGTCAAGAACTAAGGGGTATGAATGGGGTGAGACTTACTTGCGGTCCCAAAGTAGTCACTAATATTCCGTCTAGGAATGAGAATGTTTCGGCTTCATGTCTGCTATGATAATATTGTTAGGGTTAATTTCCATGTTCGAAGTATTGTCTGCTAGGATAACATCGTTAGAGTCAAATTTCATGTTCGAGGTATTATCCACTTTTGAGCTATCTTTGTCATAATTTTATTCTTAAAAAACGCTTTGGTGGGTTGAGAGAGGAAGGTGTATATAAACTATCATTGGTTTCAACTCCTAAGCGTTGTAGGACTCGTGAGTGTACCATAATAACTTGAGTGAATTATCATGTTCTCAAGGTACATTAGATTAGGCATAATTAGGCATCTACACTTGTCAAAATGTGTCATTCAACAAAATGGATATGTTTAGAAAATACCTTGTCATCTATATGTACTAAGTAATTACCCACCTACTATAGAAGTGTTAGATGATAAATGGTTGTATGCTCTAACATTTTGCACTTTACTTTAACATTTTTTTTTCCAATGTGAAGGTGACATAAAAGGTTGAATGCCTCAAGAAACACAATTGTAATTGTATTCATTAACACCACATCCTTATCAGTGGCCAATAGCTGGGGAGCGAATCAACATTAAAAAACAATCCTTTAAGTTTTTCAAGAGCCCAAACAATTTTTTTTTTTCATTCACTATCTAGTAAAAAATTTTTTAGCAATGAACATCATTCTAGTGGACGTTACACAAATAATATCAGGTAAGGATAACCTACACTTGTTAGATTTATAAGTGTTATCCATTATCAATATTGTGTTAAATGCATTCAATGATTTTACTATCTAAGATATATTTGTCATAATATTTACACTCTCATTGAGCATATGTTAATGAATATACATGTCTCGCTCTAATAACTTCATTTGATGTTGCATTTTAGTTATATGACCTCTCTCAATTATACTATTTGTATATCTTGTATTATACACTTGATTTATGTTTGTCACACTTTTTCCATTATGTTCCTTCAAAGTCAATAGAATACTTTTAGGCTTCATCAAACTCTTTTTCATATAAAAAGTATGGACTTTTTTTCATTACTTGTTAATCTACCTACATATGGATGACAACCAACATATCAACTAAGTCGTAATTATGACTTACACAAACTAACTTCACAATCTATCATTCACCATTATTTATTGGTTTTCCTTGTAGTTTTAAAGGAACACTCACATTTTATATTGCTAAGAATTATTGGTTTCAAATCACTCTTGTATCGCCTATATGTACCACTTCTTTCACAATTTAATAATATGTATGTATTCCATCATTATTGGCCATTTGTCATATCCGACCTCAATATGACAATTACAAAATCTAAACCTAAACACAACCTCTCAACTTATTTAAGCAAATAATCTCGTGTAGCAAATACCCATAACAACACAATACAAAATCACTGCACATGACATTTATAAGTTATGATAGGCATTAGTGCAATCAACTGAATCATAAATAATATGTTCCACTATATCAACATCATCCAAACTCATTAACAT